AAAAAAAAAAAAAAAAAAAGGAAAAATAAATGAGAGGCATTATGCACCAAATTGGCTGCACAGTTGCACTCGGCAGTTAAAAAAGGAAGTACATAAACAAATGAAATAAAATAAAACCAGAAAAACGAGGCTACTTTACGGTGCAGTTCTCGCTGTTTCAACAGTTGAAGAAAACTAAGCTGATACATATGGAAAAAAGTTCGAACAACATATATCGCTCTTGTTCTGATTAAGAATAAAGAGCTTTGAGGGGAACAGTACGAAAAATTGCTGGCAAATTCCGCAAAAGTTCGAGCTCGTAAAACCAAAAGATGTAATTTCATAAATTCGAATGAAAAAGTGGTGCAGTATACGATCGGCTGCAGAAACTGCGCAAATGATAAGTTTTAGATACGATCATTTCTCACAGTTAAACTGCTGCAGAAAAATTTTGCAAAAATTAGGTGGACTTACCATCGTTTACTTGGCGAGTTGCGAGCTGGTGGGATGCCTAGAATTACAAAAATCAAAGTTACTGATGGTTCAAAAGCTATTACACTGAAATAAGCAGACGACGACTACGGAAATAAAACTGAATCCTCTTGAGCGGTATAATCAAAGCAAAAAGAAAAAAACACAAATGTATAAAAATGAGCACAAAACTCGTGGGGAAAACTAGTCAAAGTTAGTACACTAAAAGAATGCTAACGATGAGTAGTATATAGAAGCGAAACTTCCCATATACATCGATAAATACTGCGTAAATAACGGCGCTGAATTGTAATCACAGACACAAAAATTTGCTACAAAGAAGTCTTCTTAGTAACTGCACATAAATACTTTCAAAATACTAAACAGCAGCAGATTCATAGTTAAACGCACAAAACTGATAAAAAAAAAGACACTAAATTAGAATGAGAAAAAATCTAGCTTGAAGCAGCACTTTCTAACTGGCAGCAACAGATTCATGAACATGCTGACGTCAGAAGTTTGGGAGCGTAGAAAAAAAAAAGCTCAAAGATACTGAATGAACAAATAAGATAATTAAACAAAACTGAACTGTTCCGATGACACTTTAGATTACATTATGTTATAGCGATCGGGAAAGCATCTGAAAATTGGCATAATGAAAAGCCTTCCGTCAAAAGAGAAAATTACTCCATTGAACTGTTCACCGAAACGGCAATGTTCATCGAACTGAAGAAACGTCGTTTCAAAAGGAGCCTTCAGGTAAAGCTCACGTTATGGCGCTAAACTGCCATAAAAGACTATTTGATATTTCATTCTCCCAGTCAATCATTGATAAGACGCTGTTTCCTACCTACGGTTTGTAATTATGGCCAACAAAACTTGTGAAAATTTTCAGTTTTTTATTCCCCGTTAAAAGTTTTTTGTTTGTAGTGAGTATTTTTCAATTTGTTTATTAAATGCACGAGAATATTAACAGAAATACATATGGATCGCGGTCTATCAATAAACATTTGTCATACGTTAACAAAATATGATTTGCATAACGAGGTTGCGGTCAAAATGAGGAAATATTTATTAGAAAGAATTCCGGAGGCCAGTATAACAATCTTGTGTTATTATTCGGCATCGGTAAAGCGAATTGCGGCCTTGGACCCGGAGTTTCAAGTTTACACCATAAATTGGTATCAGGGCCGAGATTGTGACTTCTGCAATAGTCTGCTCTTCATAATGTTTTTTTTCTTTTCTTTTTTTTTTTTTTAACTTAACCTGAAAGATGTATAAATATTCTTAAGATCGTAATGGAGATAGAAATGTCTGCCTGTGTAACTTTATCTTATTAGGAACTGCGAAAAGAGGAAAAAAGATGGTTACTTTTCTACTTCTGAAACTGCATTTTTGCACTGCGAGTCATGCACTCAAAATGGTGGTAATTAGTTCACATGTACAACACAAAAAGGAGAAATGCAGTACTATAAAATATTCAGAAAATGATCTGGAAAATAGTCATATAAGGAGGAGAGGAAAAGAGGGCGAAGAAAAGAAAATTAGAATTAATAAACCTTATAGGTTAATATCAACACTCCCTGCCTCAGCTTGCCCAATTACTCTTTTCGTAAGTTAATCAAAACATAGTCTGTGGGTAATGTTGTAGTAATCTATCTGTGCCTAAATTTAGCTACTATTTTGATAGCGTCATCAGGCAACAAAAGGAAACAGGTAAACTAAAACTGATGAATTTCCTGACTGAAAACATAGTCTTCTGAGCGCATAATAAACCAAAACGTAGAATAAAATTCAAAGAAGTTTTAATCATAGATAAAAATTAGAAAGATCAAAGCACTATACACAAATAACTTTTGAAAAACCGTCTATAAACTTTGACCTTCAGAAATGCCACCAGAATAACGTTGGTTTCACTTTGGTTTACTTTTTATCGAGGTTTCTTGAAGTTTTTAATTTTATTTTGTTTTCCTTCTTCTTGTAATTTTTATTTTTTAAAGTCTTATAACAACTAAATCTTTCCTTTTTTTTTCTCTTGTTTTCATTTTATTCTTCTTTTCAATTTAAAAACTGTTTTTAAGATTGAGCAACCAAAGGCTTCAGAGGGACGAACGCAAAAAAAAGAAACTTGATGTTGCCTCAAAGATTGTGAAATGACCCAGAGATGGGCAAGGTTTCATAAGAAGGTCGAGCCGTAGAAAAAAATTTTTTTTTATTCGTTTTTCTTTTCTTTTTCTGTTCACTTTATGTAATTATTCTCATTTTTTCATACTTTATTTTACTAAAATCTCTTTAAAAATTTCGCTTGGTCTCACTCTACATCGCTTAGCCGGAGCGTTGTCTGTCCGTCCCAGGCCTGGGCATTCTCGCAGCACGCGAAAGGCCACTGTTCCAAGCACGGTAATGGCCGCTGAACCACCCTTGAAGAGAAGCTTCCGGAGGGTAGACAGCAGGTCAATACTTCCCCGGAAGGTATTTAAAAGCGGAGCACACCTACGACAAAGATTATTATTATTATTATATTCTTCATAGTCGTCACAGTCGATATTATCATAAGCGTCATTATCAGGATTACTGTTGTTACGACTCCCCCTATTCTGAAATTTCTCTCTTCAAGACGCACCGACTGGCAGCTTTAAAGTTATTTTCATTATTTGTAAAATTTATTATTACTCGATCTCCATAATTCGTCTTTCACTGATTGTAACTCTCTATTTGTCCTTAGCTATATTAGTTGAGACCCCTGACCTGTGTAAGGCGAGTCTTCCTCCTATAAGCATCAATATTTCAAACATTCTACGAGTTGCAATATACTTAGGGAATTTGAGTAATAAAGGGTTATAAATTAAAGAGTTGTACGACATAAAGCAATTAAACGTTTGGTGACAATTATCGATTAGGTCCTCTCAAGCGCGTTGGTACTGTGAGCGTTAGCGACTACGATCGCTTACAGTGGTTAAAAGTGGAAGTAAGGTCTCCATAGAGACATGTATAAAGGAGATATCTCTCCGATTAAGACTGCTGACGGTAGTTGCGACATCACTCTCGTTGCTGCTACAGCATCAATAAAATGCGCTATTCGTAAAAGTTTCTGAACCAAGGTGGATGTTGCTCTTAACACAGTCTTTCTAAGTGGTGCAGTCTATGTTTATTTACGTATAGTACATACATTTGAATTAAGGCTATGTGCAAAATTTTGAACAAAGATACTAAGCTAAATTAATCGTGTTGATGGCGTCAGTTAAAAGAGCCTCGCAAATACAATAGTTTTAATTTTATTGTCAATCAATTCTCGTTCCGATTAATATAACTGCTAACATTCTTTTCTTTGCACTTTGTCGTTCTTTTTTAGTCGATTTCGACCACTAAAATAATAAAAGCGAAAGATGGGTTAGATGGACGAAGGTTCTCTGGTGATTGACAGGTCATTTATTACAGCAAAAAAAAAAGACTTGCTAAAAAATTTAAGAAATCATAAAGTTTTAAAGAAATAAAGGAAAATAATAGGGACTGAAAAGCGTCGGTCATTTAACAGAGGAAAATTTCCACCCAATTTTGCGATAAATTAAAGGCCTCTTTTGTCATTTTTTCCTGTGCTTATCTTTCATTCAAACTGGTCTAAGAAACAGAAGTGCACCGAAAGGAAATATCATCCAATCTCTGTTTGGGTGCCCACCTTTTGTAACTCTTACAGCTTTAACACTATCCCTGTTAATTACCCCTTATGGTTTTTTTTCTTTTTTTTTTTTTAATTTAACCCGAAAGATGTATAAATATCCTTCAAAATCGTAATGGAGATAAAAGTTTCTGTCTGCGTAACTGTATCTTATTAGGAACTGCAAAAAAAGGAAAGAAGGTTATTTTCCCCCTTTTGAAACTGCATTTTTGCAAAGATCTTTCACTGCGAGTTATGCACTTGAAGTAGTGGTAATTAGTTCACATGTACAACGCAAAAAGAAGAAATGCAGTTTTATAAAATATTCGGAAAATGGTCGGGAAATTAGTCATATAAGGAGGAGAGGAAAAGAGGGCGAAGAAAAGAAAATTAGAATTAATAAACCTTATCGGTTAATATCAACACTCCCTGCCTCAGCTTGTCTAATTACTCTTTTCGTAAGTTAATCGAAACATAGACTGAGGATAATGTTGTAGTAATCTATCTGTACCTAAATTTAACTACTATTTTGATAGCGTCATTAGGCAATGAAAGGAAACAAGTAGACTAAAACTGATGAATTTTCTGACTGAAAACATAGTCTTCTGAGCGCATAATAAACCAAAACGTAGAATAAAATTCAAAGAAGTTTTAATCATAGATAAAAATTAGAAAGATCAAAGCACTATACACAAATAACTTTTGAAAAACCGTCTATAAACTTTGACCTTCAGAAATGCCACCAGAATAACGTTGGTTTCACTTTGGTTTACTTTTTTTCTTTACTAAAAGTAACCTTCCAGTATTCTGGTTCCCGTTTGACGTGCTACTGAAGAAGAGAAACGGAAAATATTCAACCGTTTTTGAACAGCCCAAAAAACGTTAAACATTTTGTCTTTCCTGTGACAAAGTATTTCTCAAAGGCTGCTGGCAAACAAATTTCAAAGGAACAGTAGTCACCGAATAGGGGGAAAACCTGGATGTATAATATAAAGGAAACCGTTTGTTGTGCTATACAGTTTTCCTAATTTTAACTGCTTTTAGAAGTTAAAAAGAAGATTAAAGTAGCGAAGTTGGAGGAGTAACGAGAAGCAAGTCTAATAGTCCAAAAATTGACGTTATCGAGAGAGGGTTTGAAAAAAAAAAGAAACTTTCAGACGAATTAAACGATTTATTGGGGCAGTCGTTACAGCTGTTGGTGTTGCTGCAGCTGCTGTTGTTATCATTGTTTCTAGCAAAGCAATTCATGAAGAAAGCTGGACGGACGGATAACGATGACGATTATGATGACGCACAAAAGGTTAACGATTGTTAAAACCAAAACTGATTTTGTAGTGACAGTGCTCGAGAA